ACCCAATGTGATACTAATCACTTCCCACGTACCCAAAGTATTCAAACCCGGTACGCTCTGATACCAAGTTGTAACGCCCGCAAAATAAACCCATTATAAGTATATCATCGACATGCATATTTAAAGAAAACAATTTATTAATTCATTCATCAGAGTATTACTAAATAAAAACATTACATGTAACATCAAATTAAATGCCCTATGGGCTTACATCTTTCCAAGCCAACACTTGAATTCAAAAATATGAGTTCTAATCTCAATACAAGAAAAGCCCTAGGCTTGAATGTTTACATGTACTAACAACCAAAAACAAACAACTAAAAAAAAAAGTCTTCAGAATCCAAGTCCTTCAAAGCTAAGTCCTTGGAGGTAGCTTATCACCTGAACCTAAACAAATAACTGGAAATAGTCTTCAAAATCCAAGTCCTTCCAAGCTAAGTTCTTGGAGGTAGCTTATCACCTGAACCTGAAAATGATGTCCCCGTATAGGGTGAGCCACAGCCCAGTAGAAATATACTAAACCAAATATAAGCAATGAATAAAGCGATAGCATTCAATAGATGATTAACCTAGATAATCAATTATATCATTAAACTGCCTCACGACACTAATGTCTAAGACACGTTTTACTTTCCAACATTATCAATATGGCTCAGAACCTAGCCAAACTTACAACAGTGAACTATATATATATCATATTCACATTCTTCCAATGTCAACAAACAAATGAGACTCAGGCTCAAATCAAAACACTTCATACTTCCAGTTTGATACACATTTTAGTGCTGTATCAATAAAAACACTTCAATATAAATAAGCACACATAAAAGTGATGCTAATGGAGTCCATCCCCTATCTCCTCCCAAACAAAATCCGATTTAGAGGTCCATCCCCTATCTTCCCCTAAACCGTGGAGTACATCCCCTATCTCCTCCCACACAAAACAATGTATGTAAACACATAACATATACAACACACAATCAATACACATAATGTCTGTATTAATTCAACAGTCAACATTGATAACTTAATCAGTGATTAGTTTCAGTTATCCCTAATCCACATGCAGTGTCTACAACAATCACGACTATCCTCCACCGATAGCCCAAAACAGTCATTTCTAGACTTGGAAATAAATAACTCAACAATTAAATGGACGAGTGATTTAAATTAACCAACTACCCCATTTAATCAATAAATTGCTCAACCTCATGAATTTAACTAGTTTTCCCCAATGTTCCCTAAATTAAATATATAATTCAATTTATTTAAACAACTAGGATTTTTCCCAAAATTACCAAAATACCCCCAACCTATTAAAATGCCAGAACTTAGAACAAAACGTATACATTGGAGTAGGAAATCCCTACCTCGAAGAAAATAACCCGAAAGGAGAAGACAGAGATGAAGACCCAAATTCCAATGTGCTCCAAATCACCAAACGTTCAGATTAAATGGAAGCCCTCGACTCACTCTACCTTTTTAATGAAGGATCTAGGGTAGAAACACACCCCAAGTAGATCAATCCTAAGAAGGTCTTGCATCCGCAACAACAACCCGAGCTTGATTCTCAGCTCTGAGAATGCCTACTAACTCCCTAAATGCCCCTGCTATCTCTCGGGCTAGAGCGCCCATAGCCT